TGGTGCAGTGGTTAAGAAGAGCTGCTAACTGAAAGGCTGCAAAACCATTTGCTGCTTTGCAGGAGAAAGATGTGGTATCAATATGAATGAATCCTCTCTAATGAAGCACGTGCATTAATCTTACTGATCCTTCTGATAACATTATGATAGAATATGAGGTGTCTGTGATGAAGGCATGACATTACCACACTTCACACCTCCGGCTGACTGACATCAGTAGTAATGTAGGTTTTTATAGAAACCTCCAATAATAGAAAGAAACTATTTTATAAGTTGGATAAAACTGGACCTTTCCACAGACATCCTTGCTCCGCTGACGCTCAGCATCTCATGACTTTAAAATTATCTTGACTTGTAATTACTCTTTAGAACTTGACTGCTGAGGTTGCTCACTCTTTAAATAGCACTAAAGACTCAGTTCCCTCTAGAATGAATCATCTGATGCTTTGTCCACTGTGAGAACTGTGCAAACGATTTACCACACTCACTGCATTTGTGAGGTTTCTCTCCAGTGTGAATTCTCTGGTGAATCCTGAGGTCAGACCGCTGCCTAAAAGCCTTGCTACATACAACACATTTGTATGGTTTCTCTCCACTGTGCATTCGCTCATGATCCCAAAGGTGTGAGCGTTTGATAAAAGCCTTACCACACACATTACACGTGTGTGGCTTCTCTCCAGGATGTATATTCTGATGTCGAGTGAGGCTTGAGTACTGCTTGAAGGCTTTGCCACATTCCTTACATTGGTAAGGTTTCTCCCCAGTATGAATTCTCCGATGAACCGTAAGGCCTGAATTTTGAATAAAGGCCTTGCCACATACATTACATTGATACGGTTTCTGTCCGGTATGGATTCTTCTATGTTGAGTAAGATTTGAACTCCTGGTAAAGCCTTTACCACAGTCACTACATTTGTAAGGCTTCTCTCCAGTATGGATTCGCTCGTGACCCCAAAGGTGTGAACGTGTGGGAAAATCCTTCCCACATTCATTACATTTGTACGGTTTATCTCTGGAATGGGTTACTTTATGTTGAGTGAGGTTTGAACGCTCGGTAAAGACTTTGCCACAAGCATTACATTTAAATGGTTTTTCTCCGGTATGGATTCTCTTATGTTGAGTA